TTGGCCTGCTGTGTTCATCCAGCTCTACACCTTGTTATCTCAGCACTGTATCCAATGATCCAACCTCCAGTCAGGCCTGAGTTAGACAGATTTTGATTGACAAAAGGAGTCTAGGGTCATGGGGGAAACAGGTGGGAAAGGTCACAATCCAATCTTATTGATTGGTGGGACAGATTCAATGGGCCAAATGGCCTACTGCTGTTTCCATTTGTTATGATCCAATGTCTAACGAGATGGATAGCTACCAGAGAGTTCAATGTAAAATATCCGAAGTGTTTTGTATGAATGTACAGTGGGTCCTATCGGAAAATGCAGATTGAGGAAGCTGGGATGGGTCTGGATCGCAACCACAGTGCAATAGTTCCCACACGTGGATATGATACCCTGAACTTATGTCACACTTTAACACATTGCAGAAACATCTTAAAGCAGAGTTCAAACAAGTGGTCTTAAAACATAATAATATTTTTCACGTTCCATAGCTTTAGACACTTTCGAAGAAAGAAATAACCTGTCACCCTGCTTCCCCTGAGGACTCGAGACTGGCAAGACCACCTCCCTAATTCTTTAAAGATCCCGCAGGTTTTACAACATCTACCCACGTGTGCTACCAGAACGGGCATAACCTTGGCTTGTGCCAAAGCTGGTGCTCTGGCATTGCAGCATACCCTCAGTAGTACACTGGTAATGCCAGCCTGGACTACAGGGCCATTGCAGGAGGACTCTTAATGTTCTGACTCAGAAATAGACTGCTACCCACTAAGCCACAGATGAGATGTACTGCCAGTTGAGGCCAGAAAATATTCACCAGTGAAAGTACAGCACAAAGCTCAGATTGATTCTGACACTCACTGTACTCTGCTGCATAAAGAATCACTTGAACAAGAGAATGAAAGCCTTCAGTGTTTCTGGGGCTGTGCTCCTTCAGGTCACTTCCTTCAAGACGGGAGCGAATAAACTCAAAATCTCTCTCAACTTCAAATACTCTTGCGAGTTCAGTTGTTCAGCCCCTATTGGGCAGGAGAGTGGGGGTGGGGCGATATTAATACTTCCAGAACTTTCAAGTAGTTGAAGGGAACAAAGTTGCGACATTGTGGGTAAAGGAACAGGTCGGAGTATACCCAACTGGACAGTCCTTACACTGGAACAGCAACGGCGATACTGGGCTGAATGGCCACTTTTTGGGCAGTGAGATTCTACAATGTAATCGCTGACCACTCAGACAGACAGGGGGACAGGGGAGGCTGTGCCACGCGGACGGAGATTGGGTCTCTAAAAGGTGAGGTACTAAAGAGACACTAACACAATGAGCTGGTATTAGACCACAATAGGCGCCCTGCAGCGTGACTGTGGCTTCGCACGTACAGCCAGAAACCTGACGACACAGACTGCACGGCTCTGACTGTGCACTCTGCTCCTGTGCAGGCTGCATCAATTGATACACAGCACCCAGGCAACGGTTTCCCAGTATGAGTCAGTGCCTCAGAGAGAGGAGACACAGGAGAAAAAACAAAAAGCCTCACAGTTAACTCAATGCCTACTACACAAATTAACTCTTCAAGACATCTCTAATCTGCTCCAGCCTTTCAAGTTTCTAAGATATCTGTGCATTCGACCGATTCCGGCCCCTTAAATCACTGAATCTGCCTCCAATTGCCTACACCTCAAACCCTGGAATTCATTCCGAAGCCCTCTGCCTCTTTACCTCTCATTCTTCCTTTAAGACAATTCTTAAAACCTTCAGCAAGCTTTCAATACTTTAACTGAAAGTCTGGTAATTTGGCGCAGTGTCAAATTTCATTGGATTACATTGCTGAGAGGCATCAGGATGTTTCGCAACATTTATATGGTACCTTTAATGCAAATTGTTCTTGTAGGTGCTGCCAATGCTCTAGGACTGTCCCGGAGTCTCCAGGAATTAAAGTTGAATCTCCTAGTCAATTCGGTGTAGGATGGGGGGGACCATTGGCATTAAAAATAGACTGAGGTTTTTAAAATTTTCTTTAAGCATGTTTATGGAGTGTGAAACCATTAGCGTGATGGACAGAGAAAGGTTATTTGACAGGGTGGGATAATCAGGAAAAAGAAAGAAATGGCTCCAGTAGCACTTGGCAAGTGGTAATCTAGAAATTTATAATAATGCAAACCGGGAGACTGTCTGTGTGGAGTTTGCACGCTCTCCCAGTGTCTGCGTGGGTTTCCTCCGGGTGCTTCGGTTTCCTCCCATAGTCAAAAAGACGTGCAAGTTAGGTGAATTGACAATACTAAATTTCCCATAGTGTCCAGGGGTGTGCACACTAGGTGGGTTAGCCATGGGAAATGCAGGGTTATAGGGTAGGTGCTGGGTCTGGGTGGGATATTCTTTGGAGGTTCGGTGTGCACTCGATGGGCACTGTAGAGATTCTCTGCGAATTAAGAGCAGGTGTAGGCCACTTGGCCCTTGAAGTCTGCTCTGCCATTCAATAAATCATGGCTGATCTGATGACTTCAAATTCCTGCCTACTCCCAATAATCATTCACCCCTTTATCGAAAATCTACCTACCTCTCCCTTAAAAAAAATTCAAGCTTCTGCTTCCACCCCTTTTTCAGGAAGGGAGCTCCGAAAAACTTTTCAGTGGATGACCCCTTCTCTTTAAACTTTAACCCCTACTTCTAGATTCTCAAACAAGGGAAAGCATTCTCACCACAACCACCTACTCCCCCCCCTCCCCTGTCAAGACCCTTCAAGATCTCACATGTTTTAGTCAAGTTGTCTCTTACTCTGCTAAATTAATATCCCAGGAACATTGGATCAAGTCCACTGGAGAGTTTGAATTCAGTTTTGAAAGAAAATCTGGGATTAGTACAAGTGACCATGAAGAAAACCAGATTGCCCCAATAAACCAATGGGTTTGCCGAGATCTGATAGGGTAGAGATGTCATGTTTTATTCCCTATCTAGGCCTAAACGTGACTTCAGTTCCATACAACAAAGACAGACAGACTTGCATTTATATAGTGCATGGACGTCTAAAGGTGCTTTACAGCCAATGAAATAGTTTAAGTGTAGGAACTGCAGTAATGTGGGAAACGTATGCACTACAAGATCCCACTTTGTGATAACTGACCAGATAGTGCTATTTTAAATCAGCAATGTTGATGAGGAGAGAAAGATTGGAGGGGCACCTGGGAAAACTACCCTGACTGTCTTCAGATTAGCACCATGCATCTTCTCTATCCACTTAGAAAGGACAGGGGCCTTAGTTCAACATTCCATCTGCATCTCAGCAATGCAGCACTCCCTTCTCTACTATGCTCACAAACAGGCGACTCAGGGGAGAGCGAGATCTGACCCCGGTTGACCATCACGAGGATGACTCACTTCCTTTGAAGCAGTCTTGCACTCCGTTGCATCAAACCCAGACCAATTCAACTGGCCCAGCACCATCTTCTCAGTAAAGCCCAAGAAATGGCAACTGGCCAATTTCTGCCAATATTAGAAACACAGAAAATAGGAGGAGTTGGATCAGCCCTACGAGCCTTCTCTGTTATTCTATATGATCAGGGCTGATCATCGCTGATCATCCAACTCAAAATCCTGTTTCCATTTTCTCCTCCATACACTTTGATCCCTTTAGCCCTAAGAACTATATTGAACTCCTTGAAAACATTCTGTTGTTTCCTGTGGCAGAGAATTCCACAGGCCCACTGGTCTCTGGGTAAAATGCCTCCTTGCTTCAGTCCTAAATAGCCTACCCTGTATTCTTAGACCACGACCCCTGGTTTTGGTTCTCACAGCTCAAGAACAATTCTAAAAAAGTCAATAAATCTGCTGTATGTAATCAGCGAGAGAGAATTGTGAGTGACAGTGGGAATTCATAAACAAGAAAATTGATTCAATATTAAGTTAATAGGGACTGAAACCGATACTTTGCTGAGAATACCGCAAGCCAAAGATAGCCAAAAGAAACGAAAGATTTTGCATGTGGCGAGTGAGTGCCCATGCCTGGGAATTCACCTGTGAGAAACTCTGCAACATTGACAGAATGGGCGCGGACTCGTCGGTCTTATGACTTGCTGACTCACAACCAGAAATTAGGCAAATCTGATGTAAATATGTTAGCCGTTTCTTTATAAACGGATTTGAAAACAGTGGGTGGTCCTCTCGGGAGCACAAACAGGGCAAGGACAGAGAAGTAGAGACAGAGCTTGCATTTCTATAGAACCATCTGGACATCTCAAAGCACTTAAAAGCCAATTACGCACTTTTTGAAACGTTGCAACGGAAGAAGAGCAACAGCCAATTTGCACAAGCTCCCCCAAACAGGGAGGTGTCAGCCAAGACTATTCAACCATGACATCCTCACTTTCCAGCAGGAGCAATGGGATGGAGTTTGGGGGCAGGATCTCTAGCAGTGTCTTTCCCAATGCCTAATCTTTGTCATGAGGTTACAGCAGCTGTGTTCTAATCTAACTGACAGAATGGTGAGTAAACCAGACACCATTCTTGGCTGTGCTGTATTAAGAACTTTTTATTTCTAAATTAACCTGAGCTATTAATAAGAGATAATGGATCCAGGAGGAATTTTACCCAGAGAGTGTGGAACTCGCTGCTGCAGAAAATGTATTTTAAAAATAAAATTCATTCATGGCATGTGGGCGTTGCTGGCCAGGCAGCATTTATTGCCGACCCCTAATTACCCAGAGGGCAGTTAAGAGTCAACCATATTACTGTGGGTCTGGAGTCACATGTAGGCTAGGCCAGTTAAGGATGGCAGTTTCCTTCCCTAAAAAGGATTAGTGATTAAGATGGGATTTTTTTCTCCTACAATTGGCAATGGTTTCATGGTCTTTATTAGACACAAATTCAATTTAAAAATCTGGATTTTAAATTCCACAATCTGTCATTTGGGGGGGGCGGATTTGAACCTGGGTCCCTGGATTAATAGTCTAGTGATAATACCACTAGGCCATTACCTTTCCCCGGAGATAAATAGTATTTACAGAGTAGTTATATTAACACATGACAGATCAAAAAACTGAAGGACAAAAAAAGCAATAAGAAAGAGAATGGGCAGAAGGTTCTACGGAACTGAGAATGAGAGGATGAACCATTTGGGCTGAATAGCCTGTCTCTGTGCTGTACAATTCTATGCAAGCTATTCTGAGAGTTTCTCCTGTCACTTTAACATTCCCAGACCACCAAAAGAGGTGGAATTTCAACTGGGATCATGGAAGGATCTATTTCAGGAGGCTCTTGGGATTTAACCTGACCAAAAGCTTCCTAATATGGCAAAGGTCATGTTTTTTACCGATCCAGATCATGACCTCTCTCTTCTCAAACATAGAAAAAAGACTTCCTTTCCTGTATTGCCTAATGCCTCGGACCTGAAGAGAAGATTCCGGTTTAGTTCTATATTTATGCTGGCAACTTGGGAATTCTGCCTCCGACCCTTAGACAAACAGATGGTTGACTTTCCCTGGGGGAGTCATAGCACCAGTCCAAGAAAACGCCCCCAATTCTGCATCTTCCCACAATTTCAGCAGTAAAAAGGCCAAGAAAATTTGTTGGATTTAATCCATTGTTACCTCTCTTTCTGATCTGGGGCTCTTTTCCCAGACACCTGATCTTCCCTTGTTTCACTATGGAGCACAGGCACGCAAGGGATGCCTGACCGATTTGCCCTTGGTCAAAGCTCTTGACCTCAGTCAGGCTATCAAGCCTATGGAAAACCAGGCCCCAGATTTTCCCTGTCTGTTCTCATGCGCATTCAGATGGCCACTGACAGGACAATATTGGCATAAAGGCAAGAACGGTAGGTGTACAAATTAGGAGCAACAGTAGGATACTCTGTCTCTTCAGCCTGTTCTGCCATTTAATAGGATCACAATTATTCACCCAATTACTCCATATTCTGTCTACCCCAACAACCTTCTACCCCTTAGCTTATCAAGAATCTATCTACTCCTGCCTTGCAACACCTTCCAAACTCTCAGCTACTTCCATCTAGAAGGACAAAGGCAGCAATATATCGAACCACTACCACCTGCAAGTTTCCCTCCAAGCCTCTCACCATCCAGATATGGAAATATATCCCTGGGTCAAAATCCTGGAATGCTGTCTCTAACAGCACTTTGGGTTTACCTACACCACAGAGACTTCAGTGGCTCAAGGAGGCAACTCACCACCATCTTTGCAAGGTCATCTAAAGATGGGTATTAGGTGCTAGCACAGCCAGAGATTCTCTCACTCCATGAATGAGTTTAATAAAATTCTACTTCCATCAACCTTTGAGGAAGAGAGTTCCAAAAGACTTGTGATCCATTGAGCAGAAAAGAATTCTCATCTTTCTTAAATGGATGATCCTTTATTTCTAAACAGTGCCCACTAGTTCTAGATTGTCCCGCAAGAGGAGAAATTCTTTCAACATCCACTTTGTGAAGACCTCTCAGGATCTTACAGGGTCTGATTGGAAGAGGATGCTGCTTTTAAAAGGAGAGGGTGGGCACCGAATTTACAAAACAGAAAGGACATTGGCAAGGTGTTGGTTACATTAGGTGGCAGGTTCAATACCTAATGTGATATGGAGAATTCCAGTTTTGACACCTGGCATGTAACATGAAGTATCACAAGGGAAACCAAATTGGCCCGAGATAGAATCGTAGAATCCCTACAGTACAGAAAGAGGCCATTTGGCCCACTGATTTTGTACTGACCCCTCCAAACAGCTTCCCACCCAGGCTCAGCCTTCCCACCCATAACCCCGCATTTCCCACGGCGAATCCACCTAACCTGCACATCTGCGGACTGTGGGAGGAAATCGGAGCACCCAGAGGGAACCCACATGAACATGGGGAGAAATGTGCAAACTCCACACAGTCATCCAAGGTTGGAATCAAACCCAGGCTCCTGGCGCTAAAAGGCAGCGGTGCTAACCACTGAGAGACCTGGAATGGGATTGGGCTAGGGATCAGCTAGCCATTGAGCAATTAAGAATGGCAGCCATCGGAGAAATGCAGACTTGGCTGCACTTCCCACTGCTGCCAAATAGCTTGCCAACACTTACTTGCTGAGCTACACACAAATCAATTGTGAACAGCGATCAACTATGTCAATTCAAAGCTGCACAATTCCCTGCTCCTAACTTCTGGGAGTTCCATACCTGTCGATTCCGCTGGTCAACAATCCGGGAAATCTGTATCTTCTTTCTCCCCATTTCTCACTGTTTGTCAAACAATATCGTCTCTGACGTTTCAAATCTGAGTACAGAACTGTTTCTTTGTCATCACCTAGAGAGTGGGGGAAATAACACACATTATGAAATAATTGCATCCATATAATATAGCATTGAACATGTTATAACTGTACATGATTACATCAAAACAAAATATAAACTTCCTATTTGTAATGGAAACTTTAAGGTAAACATGTCATGCTGCAATTTGACCATCCGGTCACTGGCAGCATTGAGCCATGTCAGGTTTATGTTATGTTCTGTTCTGCAGGGAATCCTAGATTTAATGCAGTGACAGCAATATTGCAGGAGTTACAATTTATTTAGTCCGCAAACAGAGTGCTCCTCAATGGCTCGGATTGATTCCAAGAACTATTTGCATTGTTATAATCCTTTATCCACTGCATTTTACTCGACAAATCATCCTATTCTAATCATGAGTTGTCCTGTTCAGGCAATATTTTCCTTTTAAATAGTCTTTATAAACTGCTGTGGTGTGTTCTTTAAATACACACTGTGGAGTTTGCTAAAGATCCTGATTTCTGCAAGTCTCACTCGCCCTCCCAATTTACTGAATTGGAATACTCAATAATGCCAGCCAATCAACTCCACATCACTGCCTCCCAAACTGCTGTAAAATGTTATTTAAATCAGACTCTAAAATTCAACATATTGTATACAAGGAAGCAGGGAATGCGTGCCTTTGAAATGGGAATAAATTACTGTGACACTTGTTAACACAAGCAACGTCATAAAACTCAGACAGAACAATCACAAGCTACTTGCAGAATGGAGAATGGATTCTAATTTGACAATAATATCACTGACTGGTTACATTTTCTGCCAATCTTCTATTTTTGCTGGTATGATTGAGCAATTGATGGGTGACAATGCTCAATAGTATATTCAAATGAGTAACCTTCAGTATTCTTCAAAACCAGCACAATCTGTCATTTCTAAACTTGCAAATAAAATTATTTATGGCAGTTGTGCCATGCAGCCCTCAGCTGCCATCATACAGGTTTTGCATGGTGATTAAACCCATTGTTTTTTACCATTGCGGGTTGTCCCTCTTGCTTCATCTTCTATGGACCCTGGCTGCCTTCCATCCAACTGTCGACTGGACAGACTCTGATAAGATTCTGATTGTGGACAAATGCACAATAGCCGCACTTCACCACACTTTGCCAGAAGAATACACCGAATGCTCGGGTTAGGGTTAGGGACAGTGGCAGTTGAGAGTTTGGGTGGAGGGCATCTGTCTGATTTCCTGTCACTAGCAAAGTGGTACTGATGCATTTAAAAGGGAGTTGGTACATCCCAGAAACTGAAGGAAACAGAGATGATCTGCCACCCTGTTCCATACATTTGCCTTCAGCAGCTCACATGTGCCTGATGTGGCAACGTTTATGTTAGCTACTGTTGTGAGAGGTAGGTAATATACTACTGAATGATTCAATAGATATCATCACAGCTCCTGGTATAGATGTTTTCAACTCAACCGGCTCAGAAATATTAATACAGACCTCACGAGAGCTGCGATTTGAACTTGTGCCTCCTGGATCAGAGGTAGGGACACTACCACTTGTACCACAAGAGCCATTAGCAGCTCCTGGTATAAACATAGATAATAGTCATGGGCACTTCAGTGCTTGGGCTAATTACAAACAGCAGCATGATTCCACCTGCATGCCATGCTTCAAGAGGCTCCGGCTAAGATACAGTCTGAAACCTTTAGGCCACAGGTCATGCGTTATGATTGTGATGATATCATTAGCATGTCTCTTTAAAAAAAAGAAGGTTAGTGCCTACTAGCAAGGAGACATAGCACAACAACAGGGATATTAGGTTGTGCAAAGTGTGAAGAGATTCATATGGAGTACAAACACTGACAAGACAATTGTGTTGTTGAGAGGTTGCTCTCATGCTGTGAAGTTAATTAAGTAGCCCAACTGTTGGCATTTAATTAAGCAAAGACCTGTCAAATGGAGCTAGATGCTGAAAAATTGAGGAATCACTAAATAACACAGCACAGAAGATGACCACTCAGCCTATCCAGTCAATGCTGGTTAGTTTGAAGAACAATCCTTGTTGGCTCCCTCCTCTAAAGAAAAAAAAAGTTGCAGAGAAGCATAAAGTATTTGTCCAATGCCATTTTGAGGTCTACTGTTAAATCTGTACCTATCAGCCACACTTTCCAAACTGTAACCGCTCAATGCAATCTGCATGTCTCCTCTGGCTCTTTTACCAGTCACCTTAAATCTATGCCCTCTAATTACTAACCCTTCAGTGACTGCAAACTATTTATTTTTGCTTACTTGTCAGACCGTTCATGATTTCAAATGCCACTATCAAATCTCCTCTTTGCCTTTACTTCTCTAAATACAACAATCTTAGCTTCAGCAATCTCTACAAATAAGTGATGTACCTATGTGAGCACATGAACAAGTATGTGTGCATACATATACGTACAATATGCAATGTGTCTGCACATGCATATACACATCCATGCACACATGTACATATGCATGCGCGCTCATGTATGTCCATGTGTGCGTGCTTAAAACAAATCCAGTGACAACCAAGTAATCACACAGCCTGCCAACACTGACTGTCTGGCAGGGCAGACCGGCCATGTAGAAACGTTGGAGTTTTGACGCATTGCTGTAGAATACAAGGGCATACGTTATCAGGCCCTCCGCATTTTCCCCATCTCATTTTGGAGAACATTAGGAGGTACTTATAAAGTGCAGCTAAGGAACGATATCTCAACAAGGTCAGATTCTTCAGGACAGTAGGACTGTTCCATTTTTCCTGGATGTCTTCAGAGTTGGATGGTGAAGAACTTAAGTTAAAATTTCAAAGTAAGAAGGGGGCTATCTGGGAATATTTTGTCTTGCCTCATTCACCACTGCACCTTTAGCAGCCCTGCCTTCGGGCAGGCAATGGCCCAGTGGATTTATCGCTGGACTGTTAATCCAGAGACCCAGATAACATCCTGAGGACCTAGGTCCAAATCCCGCCACAGCAGGTGGTAGAATTTAAATTCAATAAAATATCTGGAATTAAGAATCTAACAAGACCATTTGTTGATTGTCGGAAAAACCCATCTGGTTCACTAATGTCCTTTAGGGAAGAAACTGCCATCCTTACCTGGTCTGGCCTACATGTGACTCCAGACCCACAGCAATGTGGTTAACTCTGAACTGCCATCTGGGTAAATAGGGATGGGCAATAAAATGCTGCTTGGTCAGCGATGCCCTTATCCTGTGAATGAATAAAGGGGGGGGAAAACAAGAAAATCTGCATTTGAAGCTCTGGAATTCCCTCAAAACTCTTTGCCCTCTTCTTCCCATTCTGGTGCTCTTTAAAACTTACCTGTCCAGCCAAACATTTGGTCACCTGTGCCAGGATTGTCCACGTGATTCAGTGTCAAATATTTGCTAACTGTTTCTGCGAAGTGTCTTGAGGCACTCCATCCTATTAAGGTGTTATATCAATACAAACCATTGCTGTAGTTGAACAGACCAAATGACAGAAAGAACATCCAGATCATGCAGCATTATACAAACCCAGGGTTTTGCTGCTCTTTTCATTTCCCTCCAGCATGGGAAACTGTGGGGCATGAGATTGTTTGTTTGACCAACACTGAAATATTTATGTGTGAACTGCAGCTCCTTCAGGAACTCTCCAGGCTCAGTTGCGTCAGCAAGGGAGAGAGGGGAAGAGAGAGAAGACAGATGCAGAGAAACCGTCCCCATAGGCCGTTGATATCACTTGGCTATTGAGTTATAAATTGGATTATTGTAGGTTGCTTACAGCTGGCCTGAGCTGAGACACGTAAAGAAATTTGTCCCAGTTACGGTCAAGAAAAAAAAAATAACTTGCCTGTAAGCTTCAATTTAGCAGAATGCAGAAAATCAAAAGTGACCCCTGGTACAAAAGGCACTGGCTCTCAAACTGCCAACCTCCTACCCACCACGTGGGAGTACCAAGTTGGCCAGCTGCTAGGGAAGGGTAATGTGTTGGAGAAATACCTAAAAAGGGAACATTTACAGGACTGTGGGAAGGAGTAAGGAAGTGGGACTAAGTGGATAGCTCTCACAAAGAGCCAGAGCAGATATGATTGGATAAAGGACTTTCATCTGTGCTATGAATCAAAATGTATCTAAAAGACATTCCATACTTCCCAACTGTCTCTATTTGGATAAAAATAAATGGGGGAAAATGCAGGAAATTGACACTCGTGATAATGCTCATTTAGTGAGCCGGTAAAGGCGTGATGGGCTGAATGGCCACCTCCTGCACCATAACATTTCTGTGATTCTCTGCCTCTTGCATCTTTCCTCCTTTTAAATGGTTAGGCAGAGGGAAAGGAATTCAAGTCCTGGACAGCATGATCTTTATTACAGCTGCAGCAATAAGTATTAACTCTAAGGGAGATGCTAGCAGTGAGCATGTCACTGGATTATCAATGCTGTGGGCCAGGCTAGTGGTTCAGGGACATGGGTTCAAACCCAACCATGGCATCTGCTAGAAATTCAGTTCAATTAGTAAACCTGAATTGAAAGCAAGTCTCAGTTTTCTGGTCACCATCAGTTGTTGAAGTAAAACCCAACTGGTTCACCGTTGCCATTCTTACCCGGACCAGTTGAATGGGACACTAGATAACACACTATTGTGGCTGACTCTTTACTGCCTTCTGATATGACCTAGCCAACCGCTCAACACGAGGGAAATTAGAGATGGGCAATAAATGCCAGCCTCATCAGGGATGTCCACATCCCATGAAAGAATTAAAGAAAAGGCTGTCACTGAGGATTTAGGACTTTTTTGGAGTGGAATTGGGGGGGAAAATATGGAGGTGCTGCTTGGCTAATTACTGCGGTCCAAGAAACTTCCCTGTAAATGAAGAAGGAAGTTAAGTTATCGATGCATCACAGTAGCAACTTGGTATCTCTGCAATGCCATTATATCCTAATGAAGCATCCTCAGCTGCTTCACAGGATGGTATGCAGGAGCATTTTTGACAGAGCCACAGGAGAAGATCC